TTATGAGTCAGAGTCAACTTGATGGCAGTAGATTAATTTATAGTGTGTATTTGATATGAATGAGTATTTTCGTTTTTTCTTGCCAGCATGTTTTTCTACTTTCTTCTGACACGTGAACTTTTGTTTTGAATGAAGCTCCACTTGTGATTCCAGTAAGGAGATTTGATGGCGTAGTGGATAAGGCATTTGGCTGATAACCAGATGGTCAGCACCACTTCACAAAAGGAAGATGGGGCAATCTACTTCCGTAAAGATTTATAGCCTCAGAAAGCCAATGGCGGTCGCTGTGAGTCAGAGTACACTCGATGGCACTGAGTTTGGTTTTGTGATTCCAGTGGACCTCACCTCCATAGGGCCAAACTTGTGACTCTTAGCCATCCTTCTGGTCACTGGAGTTCATCAGCAATAAGCATAGAACCCAAACCAAGTCAATTAGAAGAGTCCCACCTAAAATTAAATCTATGGCATTTGGGAGAGACATGGTTTCTCTTCCTCTGTAATGATGAGCTACAAGACCCACGTAATCCTAGAACTGAAGGTGGGGCCATATTTCCTCCCACAGAGAGCTCATGGCTAAACCAACAAAGAAGAGAAAGAGTGTAAAGATGGAGAGGGAGTTAGAGCTTGAAAATATACTTTAAAGCATCTGAAATCAGCTATACCTGAAGTCATGGTTCCTCCAAATTTTTCAGTCTTATAAGCAAATAATTTGTTTTTTCCTTAAGCTGAGTAAATCAGAGGATCAATGAAAAAGGGGAAGACCCTCAGAGAGATGGACTGACATGGTGGCTCAGGTGTATGCAGTAATGCCTGTGAGGATGGCGGACTGGGTAGTGTTTTGTTCTGTTCTACACAAGGTTGCTATGAGTTGGAGTACACTCACAGCACCAAATAAAAACAAATATAATGGTTCCTATCACTTGCAACCAAATGAACTCTGATTAACAGGTGAAAAAGGAAAAAAAAAAAAAAGAGAGATGTTCTGACATGTCTATCAAATTTATCTACATACTTCTTACCATTCACACTTACTTTGAGGAGGGAATCACTTGACCCAGTGGCT